ATTAACTATCACTAAATAGGCAAAAGTTATAGAAAATAGACAGCATCTGGAAAACACAGGGAGTAAGCAAATAATTTTGCCTGAAACAGGTGGATTAGGAAGTGCTTATAGGTTTCACTTTAAAACCCAAATAAAAATTCTATGAAGTATAGCTAAAGGAATAAAACATTGTCAGGAAAATATTTATCAAAATAATGTATTTACAGAAGTTATTTCTGGGTAATGAGATTCCACATGGTTTTAATTTTCTTTTCACTTTGTTTTTTCTTAATCAACTTGTACTACTTTAAAAATTAAAATATAAGTAGGAAAAATACTTAAATTAGATATTGATGCTCATCTAACAAACTGTCAAAAATTTTAAAAGTTAATACTGATTGCATTCAAACATGGTGTGAAATCACCACTCTTACTCTTTGCTAATGGGTGTGTGCATTATCAGTACAACTCTTCTGGAAAGGTTTTTGGCCATCACAAACCTCAAAGTATATTTGTATCTTGGCTGATTACTTCTAAGAAGCCATCCTAAGAAACATATATAGAAAAAATTTTTTTTACTGGGATGTCCAACTTAAGCATTATGGAATTAAAATTTACACAAATCCCCCTCCCCTAAATGTTTAACTGAATAGAAGAATGATTAAATAAATAACATGTTCTTAAGGAGATAATGTTTGAAATATTTTTAATGGTGTAAGAAAATCCCTAGTGTATGCTGAAAGGGGAAGGGAGGGTGGGATACAAAGCTCTATGAAAAGTCTAATTCCAATTACACAAGAAAAAAATATATATTTGAAGAACCAAACTCCCAAGAAAGATAATTCCATTATATTACTTAATCCTCACCATAAGAATCACATTTATTAACATGTGTTATGTTCCAGAGACTTTACTATTCAGTTAAAACAGGGACTCAGCCTTAGTTGGAACTCTTGCTCTACCATTACTGTGAGACCCATCAAGTTATTTAACCACATTGTGGTTTGGTTTCCTCATCATAAAAATAAAAAGAGTAATGAAATACTTCTTCATAGGAGTATAGTAAGTATTAAATGCATTAATACAGGTGGAACACTTAGAACAATCCTTGAGATAATAAGTTCTTAAACTACAATGGAGTAAACCAACTGAGGTCTAAGCTGAGCCAAACAAAAAGTGAGGGGCGGGGCAGGTGCTAGGGAGAAATGTTCAAGGCAATGTAGACCTTGAGATTTTCTACATATTTCTTATACACCCTTAGCGATTTGATAATTATCTTAAAGGTAGAATGCTTTGAATGTTCAGAATGTGTTTATGGGTTTTACTTTAGGCTAGTTCACTATGCATAAGAATTACTATCAGTGTTGTAACATATAATCATAAATACTATGCTTTATGAGTGATTATTCTCTATTTCCTTTTAGAAAAGTAAAACAATCCTCTGTCAAATAGAAAAATTAGAGAAAAATCATACTGAATAACCAAGATATTGGATATATTTTGGGATGAAAAAGATTAAAAAAATACATTACATTTGCAACTCTTGATAATTTCACGAACTGTTAACAGTGAAACAGCGGCAATGATTATGTTTTTGATAAATCTCAACATTACAGCTCTGTAAAGGCATGAGATTTTCATATGTTGTAGGTCCATGAGGCATATTAATCCCTAAAACACAAGATTTTTCAGGACATTTGGTATATTTGAGATTCAGCCCTAGGATCTCAATATTTTAGGTGTAAATTTGGAATCCCGATTTAGTAACTTATTTACTGACCTTGTTATTTAATATTTTTCTTTCCAAGAACTATACCTCCAAAACTCTCTTTGCCACCTTAATCACCCACTACTCCCATCATCTGCTGAATGCTCTGGACACACTAGACCACCCACTCCCTCCTCTCCTGCCAGGCCCCTTGGCTCAGAGCATTCATTTGGAAATGACTCCCACCCGACTCTGTCTACTGGCATACCTCATTTTATTGTGCTCTGCTTTACTGCACTTCACAGATTTTGGAAGATCCTCCACCAGCAAAAAGATTACCACTCACTTTATTGAGGTAGTCTGGAACAGAAAAGTAGTATCTCCAAGGTCTGACTGTAACTGAATCCTACCTTTAAGACCTGGAATGTAATCTTCCCCAGTACCTGAAATTACTTCTTCCCTCCTGTCACTGAGTACATCTGATCTAGCATTATGTTCCATCAGTTCATAATCTCTCTCTCTCTCTCTCTCTCTCTCTCTCTCTCTCTAACAGGTCGGGGGGCCTTACATAGCAGCTAGACTGATACTAAATAATTATTTGCTGAGGGAATAGTAGTTTACCAGTCTTAAGTGAACAGTAACTGAGATTAGTTTACAATCCTAAACTCTTAACACCAAGAGAATAAAACACCGCCTCCTTCACAGCCTGTTTCTTTAAAATTGCAATCAAATTAGAATGAAAGTAGAATTCTTCAGGATTTATGTACAAGGTCAATGAAGAACACTAAGGGTGTAAGATGATATAAAATGGAATATAAAGCTTTAAAATGAAAGCCACACTTTTACATCTGTTAGAAAAATTAATGTAGAAGCCATTGTTGTCTGCTAGAATGAAGAGAAGGTAACCCAGACATAGAATGAGAAAACTAAAAAATACAATTTCCGTTAACCACTTGGGGTCAAGTTTGGAGATGTAATTCATGAAAACAGCTCCAGAGAAGCCATTAATATAAAGTAGAATATTTTTATTAGTTTGGTAATTAAAACAAAAATGTAGTAAAAGGAAGTGACTAATACAAACTCTCATCAGTATACAGACATTCCAAGTTTCTGTTTCCAATCCTTCAATATTTTCCACTATAATAAAAATTTCACTAGACCTTCACTATTAAATTCAGGCTAAAAAATACTGGCTTCTTTTTTGTCATCATTTTGTCTAAACATTCATTTTATTTTGTTTATAATGTTTAAGTACTTTTGTGATGGCCAGATGCTAGAGGTAGAATTGTAACTTACTTTGAAAAGTAAGACCTATTCTTAAATCAAGTAAAAATACTCAATTACACATTTTGAATTATACATACATAGTCAGTTACTAGACTATAATAATATTTTTAGGGTACTTTCAAATACACAGAATTTAGGTAACAATAAGAATGACAAATTGGAAGAAAACAGGTGAAGAGAGAGGCAAGTTTGAAACAAGCATCTTCCTCTGGTTATCAAAATTAAGATACTTTCACAAATATTTGGTTCCACTATTTTTTTAATCTCCACTGGAGGATTATGTTGATGAGAGACAGACAGACAGACACTGCTCTCCTACCCATCCTGAACAGGAATGGAACTGGAAACCTAGGTATGTGCCCCGACCAGGAATTGAACCTGCAATCTTCAGGTGAAGAGCAAGAGGCTCCAACCAACTGAACCAACTGTCCAGGGCTGATTCCACTATTTTTATTTATATTTAAACATCAGATAACACTGATATTTAAAAATTGCTACCAAAATTAACTGTATAGTAAGTGATCAAATAAATGGAAGTCATACCCATTGAACCCTAAATACATCAAGAATTTAAAAATATAGACATAACTGCAAAGAGCATGTATGCATGATCCATGGACAAATGGTGTGGGGACTGCCCAAGGAAGTCGTGGGCGCTGGGTGAGGGGGACAAAGGAGAAAAAATTGGAACTGTAATAGCATAAACAGTAAAACATAATTTAAAATAAATAAAAATAACGGTGACTTGTGGTTCTTTGAAAGTCTGAAAAATGTTTGAGGCAAAGCCACTGTTTTCTGTTTATAATATGAATTAGAAAAATATGATGAAATAAGTGAAGAAATGAATAACTTTCCCAAATTTCTAAATATACAGTATGTAGCCCAAAGTATTTTTGCATCTATTCTAAGATAGTCCAAAAAAAAAGTAAAAAGAAAAAAATATGAATCAACAAGGTCCTCAGGGGCCTGGGGATATTCCAATAGTCTTACAACCAATAGGAAAACTTCCAGTAAATCTGAATTAACATTTCACCTCTATCACAGAACACAAACCAGGATTGTTATCGGTTACCCAAAAGGCAAGAAATCCAGTTAGAATAATTTGTACTTGGAAGCTAAAGCTGGTTTTTAAGGAACTTAAAAGGGGTGAAAGATAACAGTTTAGGAAAGAAAAGCGGAATTCATCTCCTGAAGTTCTATTTCTAACACGTCTTTGTAAGGAGTTAAAAATGTAAACCAGCCCCGCTAACATAAAGCTGGGTGAAAATGGAAATTCAGCTGGAACTGAAGCATGAGGGATAGGGGAGGGACCAGGTTGGGTGAGGGGTTTTCGTTAGGGCCGGCCTGCGGGCGGTGGCGGTTTGGATGCAGGGAGGGATGGATAATAAAAGCTAATGGCTTGAGCTGTCGGATGATGCCTCAGCACACAAGCGCGCGAGGGTCTGAGCCGCAGGAGCAGGGCTGTGGGTCCGTTTTCTTCTGAGGCGCCCGTGCTCGCCTCCATTTTCGGCAGCGGCCGTGCCCTGGGGCGGGCGGTAGTGGACCGGTGCCCTAGGCCGCGGGGCCGAGGAGACCGGTCTCACTTCGCCAGAGATCCCGGGGGCGCCATTCCGCCGGCTGGGAGGGTGCGCTCTACTTTCCCCTCGGCCCCACCCGAGCCGCGGGGGTCGCGGGAGCTCAAAGACTCAACCTGCCAGCGTCCAACCCGCCTGGGCCTGGAGATCTCCGGCCCTAGCTCCTCCGCCCAGCGCTCCGGCGCGGCCTCCCGGCTCCCTCCCCTCTCCCGGCTCCCTCTGGACCAGCACTCACCGCTCCGGGCCCCTCCACCCCCTTTCCCGAGGGACTAACCTGCAGGACCGCTACCCGGCGAGGCCGACCGCTCAAGGAAGCAGCGAGCGGACGACGGCGCCCGCAGCGACTGCGGCCACCTCGGTCCTTCCCCCGGCGGCCCCCGCGCCCCCTCCTCGGGCTTGCACAACTCCTCACACGCGCGCGCACACGGGCTGAACCGTGTTGCTCAACCTACTTGCAGTCCCTTCTCAGCAGCCATCACATGCTCTGGGAGCCGGGGCAACCCCGGGGCCCTCCAGCGGCCGGCAGTCTCTCGCCTCAGCCCTTGCCCGCCGCGGCCGCCGCTAGGGCGCGGGGAGGGCGGGAGGCCCCCCCATGCCGCCCGCCTGGCTGGCCACACGCCGGGGCTCTGGCTGCGGCGCGCCGGCCGCGCCGCTGCCCGGCAGGCGAGAGCGAATCCGGCTGTCCCGCCTGCCTGCTCGCTCCTCGACCTCCCTCCCGCAGCCGCCGCCGCCGCCGCCGCCGCCGCTGCGCCGCTTCCGCCTCCCCTTCCCTCTTTTCCTTTTCCTTCGCCTCCTCTGGAGCGGAGGTTGGCAAACCAGCACCTGCTGCTGGAGATCACCGAGAAGTGAAACAGGAAACCCCGAGCCGAGGGGAAAACCCGGGAGGCGTGGAGCGCGATGAGGGGAGCTGCTGGAACCTGTCGGGCTCGACCCAGCCGCTGGGGCTGCCTAAGGTTCCTGCGTCTCGTCCCCTCGCGCCCATTCCCCAACCCAGCCCAGCCCCGGTGCCCCCACTGCCCCTCCCCGCTGCCCCAGCGCCTGTCCGCTCGGCGACGTCTTCTCCACCACCTAGCAATAACACGGACCATCCCTGGGCAGTCAAGGAAATAGAGCGTCTGCCTTCTTAGGGCAAGTTTCCCGTGGTTGTTTCTTAATATCAATAAACCATAACAAGGAAAAAACACAGCCAGCATTAGCAAGACCAATAAGGGAACTTAAACAAATGAAGCTGTTGGGATTTCTTCGAGGGGAAGGACTTCTTTCAGCAAGGACACTGCCCTTGTTGGAAATTGCAACACGTCAAAATCGACGTTAAAGCCAGAACAAATCTAGATCTCTTTCGGGAGGTTGGGAGGAGACAGCCTTTTCCACTGAGGAGAGCTCCTCAGTTGCAAGTGTGAAAAGCACTGGGAGCAGAGAGCTTTCACCTCTGTGAATTATACAATGCCCAGCACAATCTAGGTCAACAATTCAGTAGTGTTCAAATAATCTTATTCACCGGCTTGTCGACTTGTCACCAGGTGCCTCACTCCTAGCCTTGGGCAATATGCATCAGCTTTTAGCTTGAGAGGGAAGAGGAATTACGTGGATCGTGCCACAGACTAGGTAGCCTGATTTAACTGCATTATCTCATTTAAGGTTCACCACAGCCACGTGAGCTAGGTGTTATAAATCCCCTTTAGCAGTCAGAAGATTGAGGTTAGAAAGATTTCCCAACCACAGCTTCAGGTCTGTTTGCATCCTGAGCAAATATTTGTTTCACTGGAAGAGAGTTCATCCCTTTGATAGCACTTTTTCACACCTCACTAAAATTATTTCTTGCCTCTGTGAACTGTTTTCAATAGGGCATATATGGTTTATACCTGGATTTGTTGGATTTGCTTGGTGTACTTAATGGTAGTTCCATGATGCTTATTTTGGCTCAGACTTGATATTTTCCAGTTTAATGTTCTCTTTCTTTCTGCCTTTATGGCTTAGTTAAGCAGCACAGATGTCCTCACCTCTTTGGCCAGCACCTTTTGCTCTTTAACTATTGATGATAGGGTTCCAGCTGAGAGCATTCTACTGGCTGGAACACTGCTTGGGAGATGGAAGGGGAGCATCTCACTGAATCTGTTTTCCACTTCAGTAAGCCAGTCTTGGAGTGTAATAAATAAAATAGCTGGCTCGTAGACTTCGTTTTGAGCATAAGGTAGCCCTCTGGTCCACATTTTCAGTACCATCTTTAAGACTCTTAGAAATCTGGCAATGTGCTCTCTGCAGCCAGGTCCGTTTTGATTGGCAGGAAGAAAAGCATCTACAGTTCATTGAGCCAAACTCTCAAAAGTCTCTTGAGCAGTATTAGGAAGGGTGGGGAATTAGAAATAGCCTGGCTGACTGGCTTGCTGGCTTGCTGGCTGACAACAATAAGTGATGGCATCTTTGGCAAGACTTTTGTTAAGCCAGAAATCCTCCTTACTCCATCGTATACTGCCCATGCAGTATACTTTATTGCCTTCAATTGACAATTAAATTCCATTGACTGAACATAGTTATAGATCAAGGCACTGTATTATGTCCTTTGGAGGTAAAAGACATGAGTAATTATTATAATTGGTAAAATTTAGTGAATGCCTACTATGTTCTAAGAACTTGTGTGTGTTCTCTCATACAATGCCCCAAAACCCCCTAGGAGAGAATAACTATCACTATTTCCATTTTACAGATGAGAAAACTGAGACTAAAAATACAATCAGTAAGTAATAGTACAAGGACTGAAATGTGGGCAGTCTGACTCTAGAATCAGGAACCATTATTTGAATAAGATACTGTTTTTAATTACCAACTACTGTATAATTGGGGAGATAAAAAACAAAAATTAAAAAGAAAAGAAGATGAAAGAATTTACAAGTGTTAACTTTGTGTCATGGGTAATAAATGCAATGAAGGTTCAGAAAACAGAGGAATCTCTTTAGGTTTGAGTAGTGGGAAAGTCTACGCAGATGATTCTGGGTTTCAAAAAGAAATTTAAGCTAGGCAATGATGATGACTAATATTTTGATAAGCAGAGAGGATAAGGAAGGGCATATCAATGAAATTACATAAACAAAGAGAGACTGCCAGGGAGATTTAGAAAATAGGAATTCAAAACAGCTGCAGAGCTCTAAATTATACAGAGACTTGAACAAAGAGAGAGGGAAGGAGGGAGGGAGAGAGTTTGAGCTTATACAGTATGGACTCTTTGAAGGGTTTTTAACAGAAGGTGACATGGAGAACATTCCTATTTTAGGAAAACCAATATTGTGATGGTTATTGGACGATTTAGAAAGGGGAGGGGTTGAAGCAGGAACAGAAGTTTGAAGACTGTATGGGAGCATTTACATGATAATGAAGTAAATAGTGAGAGAGAAAAAGGGCAGGTTAGTGAGACCCTGTGACTTAACAATCACCAAGTTTTCGTTGAATGGTTGGATACATTTGATGGAGATGGAATTAAGGGAGAAGTTCAACATCACTTAGCGGGTGTGAATGTGAAGCCTATAATATTACTGAGTGGAAAAAAGGGCAAGTTTAGAGGCAGAGGAACTACTTTTTTTGGCAAATGTTTAGAATAATTTGGTTTCAGGCATATATTTGTGGTAATAGTGGGTTATTAATGTGGAAATATTTTATAGTATTATCTAGAAAGGACAAATAGTTGGTTAGATGAGGATTTTATTTGCTATTGAGTGTGAAAATTATAAGTGATCACTATTAGATTTAAAGAAAATTTCTAACACAAATAAGATGCTTCTATGGCTCTGAGATAAATGAACATTAGGGAGTTACTCTTTACTCCAAGTTATATTTACTTAAAAGGAAAGGAGAATAAATAAGAAAGAAATTTCATGGACTCTGAGAGTGTAAGACTGATGAAAGAAAAGTTAGACGTCATTTAATCTGACTCCACTTTTCATTTGCAAATGGTAAAACTGAGGATCAAATTTTTAGTATCTAATAGCAAAACTTCAAAATAGGCATCAGACAGGTATGATACATTTGTTATTACCAATTCTGGATAGCCTATCGGAATTTGAGTTATAATATCAAGCCCGGACCTTGAATTATGACTTTGAATTGCACATCATTTAAAATTTTAAGTGGCTGTGACTCCTTAATAGGCATAACCTTGAACAGCCTCCCTAGTTAAAGGCAAAGGCTTTGGGAAGAACAGGTTGGGGAGGGGATGACTGCAAGGGCAGCACTTCTTTCTAAAATATAGCTCCTAGGTAGACTAGCAAAAACCGAGATTCACATTTGAACCTTAAAAAACAGAGTTTCCGGTGCCCACCATATCCCACCTGGCTGCCTCAACCTGGAACTTATAATTACCCAGCCACCTTATCTAAGACCTCCAGGGACTGTAGGTCACCCTCATGTTCAGAACTGACACATCCCCTTGGCAACTGCTTCTAATTCAATCCACAGCTTTACTAGCAGTGTCTTTAGGAGTTTTCTCATGGAAAATGTGTGAACCCAGTGGCTAAATTTGGGGGTACAAGAAAATTATTTCTCTTGTTCTCATGTCTCCTGCCTCTGCCATTTCTGCCAAAACACTTACCTTAGTTGAAACAATGTCAGAAGTCCCTCAGAAGCTTCTTCATCTTCAGCTCTTTGGCTAGCACTTAATTTCCTGTAGTTGAAGAACATTACCCACATAGCCAGGTGACCACTGTGATTTTTTCACTCACGGCTTCTTTATGTCTTTCAGAGAAGTTCTGGTTAATTCCAACAACCTATGAAGTATAAGATTTCCTTAATACCATTATCTTAAACAACCATTTCCTAAGCACATGATCTATGTAAGATAGACAGAGAGGGATAAAATTTATTCTTGACTATGTGCTTTAGTGACTGGTTAGAGTTGCTTTTTAATACCAAGTTCTTAGGGAAAGGAAACTGGAGGGCATGAGATATGTGCTATTGACCAATCCCAGAGCTTCTTTCTTTTGATGAGTTAACATGAGAGTCCACACTAGCAGCATGACTCTTGAGCATTTGTGGGAGGCCACTAGAGAGCCAGAACAGCATGGTTTCAGTATGCTTGTATTCTACAGTCATGTGCTTGGTTTTCTACCTGAATCAGACAGCACGGCTGCCTGCTTTTACTGCATTTGGCCAACAAAGGAATTTTTAGAAAAAGAAGCCCTTAGTATAGAATAAAAAAATTGTTCCTCAGGTGGCACTTTGCCATCCTGACAAGGACAGCACCTGTCATTGCAGTTCACTCTGCCCTGAAGTTTTGAAATTTTTATTTCAACATAGGTTTTCAGGCATACCTCTGTAAGCATCTGTTGTTTTTAAAAGAAAACTGGTATGTAGAATTACAAATGTACAAAATTGAGATAGTTGAAAACAGGATTATAGAATATTCTGGCTAGAGTGCATTTTACATTTAAAAATTATGTCACAACAATATTAATTGCAGTATTATTTGCAGAGGCAAAAAATTAGAATCAACCTAAATTTCCACTAAAAGGAGACTATTTAAATAAATTGTAGTATCTTTATATACTAGAATGTCATTTCCCTATTTAAATAATGAAATGACCTTATATGTATGGAATAAACTTTAAGATCCATTGTTTATTGAAAAATTAAGGTGAAGACCAGTATATGTAGTAAGCTCCCATTTGTGTAAAAATTAAAGAGAATTATCTCTGTATCTGCTTAAGTGTGGATATGATGT